TGCGGAGACGTTTAGGCCGATCATAAAAATTCTTCACCAGCCTCTGAAATAAGAGAAGCTGAAAAAGCCTTTACGTAGAATGTACTCGGATCAGTAAAGAGGTTCAGACTAGCTCTAACTGAATTGTCATGAACAAAGGAAGCATTTGACTACAGTAAATGATTTTCTAGTCTTTACTCAGAGGTTAGAAATTGAGAAGTCTGTGAGAGATGAAATTTTTTTATAGAATCCATGGAGGTCACTGGGGAACAACTGAGTGTAGAGCTCATATTCAGCAATCTGTATGGTAACCATGAATTTACAGATAAATTGAAGGCTTCATATGTCTTTATGAATTTAGGATCTTTGAGTTATAAAGCATGATTACTTAAAATATATAAGTTCTTAATTTATAACTGTATAATCCTCTTGTGCTTGATCTAATAAGGTACAGTTAACCACTATTTATGAATCAAATGTAATTGAATAAGCAAGATGTCATAAATATAGAACAAAGTGCCCTGTTATGGTGCAGTGGTACTGTCCCTACCCCTGGACTGAGAGACCCAGGTTCAAGTCCCACCTGCTCCAGAGGTGTGTAGTAGCATCTCTGAACAGATTGATTAGAAAAATAGGGTAAATACTGAATAAACGAGCAGAGAAGGCAAGATAAATTTTCTTATCTTCAAAATCCAGAATGTTTAAATGTTGTCATCATAGGTGATGCTGCTGTTCTTTTGTCTCTGAAATGATTTTGTGCTGAAAGTCACTCAGAGCAGTTATGTCGTAGAAGCTGTGGTAAAATTGTGCCACAAACATCTGAGTCTCCACCTCTTATTTCTAATTTTGGAGCTGTCATACTGCTTACTGGGAAATTGTGTGAATTACCAACTTGCATTGGCTTAAGATGGGGATCACCCGGTACAGCTAGAATCACACTGGCTCAAAAAGTGTCCATGTCTTATTCCCCTATCCCTACAAATTAACATTTCATTTTGTGAACAAATGAAATATCTACATGTAGCGTTGCATCCTCTTATGAGTAATGTTAACCATCATAAAACCATTCGCATCAACATTCCCAGGAATACCAAAGCAACTAAAAACAAATCATTTCAGCAGAATATTAGAATTTCCTTTTCTAAAAAAAAAGTCAGTTTTGTCCTGCAGTTGCTGTTAATTGACTAAATTAGTTATCAAACTAAAATCTTCTCAAAAAATTTGATTCTAGTTTAATAATAGATGTCACACTCCGTTCAGGCTGCTAGAATGATTTTTTTGAACTTATCTATTTAAGGTTAACAAACAAATCATGAATTGCACCCATTGTCACTGAAACAGATACTAAAGAGTTGCTTAATCTTCAGCAACTTCAGGTCATTTACTTCAAGATCACCCTTGCAAGCACCTTCCCTGTTAAATGTCTTGCTCGTGGAACTTTAAAATGTTTAACAAGGCAGCATCATAAAACATACTTTAATCCAACATTGGACCCTTAGGATTTTGATAATGGTATTAATTTTATGTCCTGCAATCCTTGTATAATCAGTAGTTAGGCACCAATGAAACCCTTATTATTCCTGTGGTCACCCAGACCTGTCATGGCAAAGATTGAGATTAAACCTTGTCAACTTTTAGGTAGACTACACGTCCTGTCGGCTTTTATTCCAGATGGCTGCACATTAGCAGAATTCTCTCAGCAATAACAAGACTGTGATCAATCACCGAATACATTTTTATCTGTACAGTTAATAGTCCACCATTCTAGATTGTGAAAGAGATTCATAGCAGAGTCCGGAAGTAGTCAGGTCAGTAGTTCTCCTCTTCATCTCGCCAATACATAAGCAATATAGCACTGAAAACCTTGAAGATGTTAATAACTAAAAATAGTTTGGGATTTAGTTTTGTGGATTGCAGAATAACACCCTAGAGTAACAGATATTCACAGGTAGATTTACTTATAGGCAGAATGGTAACAACATAAATTCCAAAGCTACAGCAACACCTCAATGAAATATTGCATCTCAAGACTAGAAGAGTGTAAGGACAATCAAGAATGACCAAAAGAAAAAGCAGAAGAACTGGTACAGTTCGCGGCATTTAGCAAAGATTTTAGCCATTTTGGTACCAGGTTAGCAGGTATGGGTCAGAGATAGGACACCATAGGGCACGATACTCAAACAAGCACAGCAACCAAAATCAGGGGACAATTTCAGGAGGAACAGAAAGTACCTGTTGTATTATTACTGGAGAATGAACAAGTATGACCACCAAAACCTTTGGAGTAATGAGAAAGTCAAATATTAATTATGTCTCAGAATGATAGTAACATTGTAGATCATCTCCCTCGATTCATGGTGATGAGTGGAAGAAGATTAGCGTGAGCAGTAAGAGCAGGGCAGACATTCAAACTGTGAAGTCTGGACTTTAGGGGAAGGGCAGATGGTGAGAATGTAATGAATTTAAATATGTAAAATTTGAGAGACTTGGGGCTGAGAGGGAGAAATATGATGAGAATGGATGACGATGTGTATCATGCAAAAGTCACTTCAGTTATATAAGATGCTGTGAAGGAAGGATGAAATTGTGTGTACTAGTGATATATACGTAAATACAGAGAACAATATTGACAATGTTGCAAATAAAATAGTTTGCAGAAATCTACCAGAGTCACACTGCAGTTACTTGTAGACAAACGGAAAGCTTTACAGGGCACAAACTATCAGAAGAGAGACATCTCTTCAATGTGCAAAATAGAAAGAAACAACCTCCATAGCACCTGAAAATCTCTGTTGAGTTCTTTTTCCCATGCTATGTCGTGACACTTCACTATGTTTCAGATAAGCCCTGTTACTTTACAAATTATTACATCTTCAAGTTCAAAGAAAAACTGTAGTCTTGTATTTTCTCAGAGATAGCAAGAACTACAGATGCTAGAGTCAGAGATAACACAGTATGGAGCTGGAGGAACACAGCAGGCCAGGCAGCATCAGAGGAGCAGAAATGAAGAAGGGTCCTGACCCAAAACATCAACTTTCTGTTCCTCTGATGCATCTTGTATTTTTTTTTCTTTCTTTTGTGTTGTCTTCCCGAATAAAAACATTCATAGGCTGACTGTGTCCAACAGTTCTCTTCCAATACCTTCCAATGTGACTGATTTGTCATCTCCCTTTGTGTGTCTTTCTAGGACTTCTTGCCATTGTTTCATGTGCTTTCTGGGTAATTTCAATATTTTACTTCTTCCTTTTGCCCTTTAAATGGTAATTGTGTGAGAGAATGGCACAAGGACATAATTCAAGGGCCTCTCAAGGCTTGACTGTTCCATTTGTTAACTGTGTTCCTTGTATTTAAGTAAACCTTTCATACATTTTCACTATTTGCTGTGGTTCTGATCTCTAATGGTTCTGAAAACTCCCACTCAATTTCTATATTTTTTAACCCCCTTGTATTAACATCCCTGTTTTTAAGTACACTTCAATGTTAATGCAAACCATTTTATCCGCTTTCTGTTCCCCTTGCTCTTTTCCCTACATTCTCTAATGCACATATACCTCAATGGAATACATAGTCTCCAATTGTGCCTTTGTATGTATCTCATGTGACCGGGTTATGTAATACACATTTTTTGGTTTCTTCCTCAGAATCTTGAAATTACCTTTCTGCAACCAAAAGGGCCTTTTCTGTCTTTTTAAAAATCATATAAATTGTAATTTAAACTCCAGCATACTGTGTTAATTGTTGTTTCACCATTTTGTAATTGAGACCATTCTACCAGCCCTTGGCATTTCATAAGTATGAGATTGTTCCAGACGTATTATAGTTCCCACGGCTGAGAGTCTTGTAACAGCCCATAATTAATAGTGATTCACTTTCTAATTCCCTGCACAGGTTCCCAATTAATGCAGGCAAATTGAAATTCTTCTCATGATCATATTAGCTTCCTCACATGTCTCTCTGATTAAATGGTAAATTGCCTAAAACAAAATCCTGTAACACTGTATTTTAATAATTTCCAGAAACTCATTCAGTATTCGCTTGGTTGCACTTTTTTCTAACTTTTTTGAATATTCTTTCATGGGAGCATTGCAAGGATTCTAAGGATGTGGTTGTCACAAGGAAAGTATTTGGTTTCATCCCTAACTGTCCTTGAGACCAGTTAAAAGTCAACAACATTGCTGTGGGTCTGGAGTCACATATAGGCCAGATGGGATAAAGAGGACAGATTTCCTTCACTAAAGCGCATTGTTATCCAGATGGATTTTTACAACAATCTATGATAGTTTCATGATGGGCTTATATTTCCAGATTTAATATATTGCATTAAATTCCACCAACTGCCATGGTGAAATTTTAACTATGTCCCCAGAACTTTAGTGTGTACTGTTGGAGGATGAGTCCAGTAACATTACCACTACGAGACCATTTCCCCCACACTTCCCCAGATTTTACAGAAACTAGAAATAGGAGTAAGCCATTTAGCCCTTCAGGCCTGCTCAATATGATCATGGTTGATCCTGTATCTCAATCCCATGTTCCCTCTTTGTCCTCATGCCCCTTTCAAATCGACGACCTCTGCCACCTTGGAGGACAAGAACAGCAGAATCATGGGAACACCACCAGCTTCAAATTCCCACCCAAGCCGCAAACATCCTGAGTTGGAACTGTATCAGTGTCCTTTTGTCACTGGGTCAGCTCCTGAAACTTCTTCCCTAACAGCACTACGGTTTGCATGGACTGAAAAAGTTCAAGAAGATGACTCCCCATCAATTTCACAAGTTGGATAAAAAATTCTGGCTTGGCCAGTGACCTCACCATGCAAAGAATAAACAAAGCAAATGAGCTGGTCTTTGAAATTGAGACATTTTATTGTCAATATTGTACAATTGATTGGAACATCGCTATTTGACATCTGCATTTTAAAGAGTTATTTGTTCTTCAAGTTCTATATTTATTTTTAAATGCTTTGATGTGAAGATGAAGGCACACAGAATCTCTGAGTTATTATTTTTCTTCTTCTGCAGAAAGTTGCTGAGAAGTCCAGAGCATTGCTTCCTGCAGCACAGAAAGACAGACAGGTATGTGAATGTGTTTGCTTTGCAGTTCTGCACATAGCAAATCCAAATCGTGGGTGCTGCTACACAAATGGGATCATTTCTATTCACACCATAAGCCCCATTCTTAAAACAGTGACAATGTTCATTTTCTCCTGTTCCTTACTGCAAGTCACCCCATTAGCAGCAGAGGTAATCCTGGAGACTAGCAGTTTCCAGGAATCTGAAATATAAAGCCAATTACAGTGAGCTATTTCTGAAACTCATTTCTAATGGCTTGCAACTTTTAAGCTGACTGTGGTTAACTACCCAATCACAACAAATTTATGTTTCTGGGGTCCCATGTAAAATCTATACTTAAACTGTGCATTTTGCAGGCCGATTGCATTTATCTTGAGGCCGGTTGTATTTTTTTTTAACGCTATCATTTGTTCTTGTATCTTATTTGTAATTGTGACTGCACTCATTGGCATGGCAAGACAAGGCAGGGTTGCTATGAGAATGCAGGTAGGCGCTAATGGCTGAGCACTGATAGACAAAGTGAGCATTGCTGAGATGTAGGGGAATAGGTCTAACGCAGTCAGGGAAATGTATCAGCACTAGTAAAGTGTCTTGGCACATCCAATAGAGTACGGCAGAGAGACTTCACTGACTACAAAAAAAAGAGGCAGTATAGTGGCTCACTGGTTAGCACTGCTGCCTCACAGCGTCAGGGTGACTGTCTGTGTGGAGTTTGCATGTTCTCCACGTGTTTTCACGGGCTTCTGCCAGGTGCTTCGGTTTCCTCCCACAGTCCAAAGATGTGCAATTTAGATGGATTGGCCATGCTAAATTCCCTTTAGCGTTCAGGAATATAGGTTAGCTGCATTAGCCATAGGAAATGGAGGGTTACCTGGATAGGATAGGGAGATGGGTCTGGGTGGGATGCTGTTCGGAGAGTTGGTGTGGGCCCATTGGACCGAATGGCCTGTTTCCACATTATAGGGATTTTCATATCTTTCACAAAGGTTTTGGTCATGTCAGTCAAAAGCACAGGATACACTCAGTCTGTTGGGTCTGTCCACAGAAACTAAGGGGAAGAGGTGGGCAGGTGTCTCCTTTGACATGGGACTGAGTCTCAACAAATTAGTCTTCAGGCTCTGAGCAAAGGAGCAGTGCAGTTGAGAGGAGCTACAGGATTTGAAAGGGGATGATTCAATAGAAAAGCACAACTCCGAAGGATGTAGCTCAGGAGCGGGCTCATCCATGGTTAGAAGCACCCTCCCTTTAAGGAGAGGGAATGGTGTAGTGAATGGCATAACCAGGCATATTCACCACAAAGACATCATCAAGTCCCAATGTCACGTGTATGCATTATCTCCCCACTTCTAGATGGTGCATGTGAAATCTCAACATAGCTTCCATCCATGGAGCATCATCTGTGGCAATGAAGAGCTGCCAGATGGTGTGAAAATGCAATTAGCGCCGACATAGACAGACTCTCAAACACATGAAAGTTAACATCAGAATCATTTGTGCAGTGTGACATACAATGCTTTTTCACTAATGCCGCCAAGGTACCCTATATACATTTTCTTCTTTCTCTCCCTCCCGTGGCACTTCAGTGTACTCCCTGGCACCACAGCTGGGGCACAGGGAGTCTGCTCAGCTGTTGAGTCCATTGGCCCTGGAGGTTTTTGGCCAGGTCACGTGTGCCTGGATGGGTTGGAGATGCAGAAGGTTTCCTTGCTGGAGACAAGTTGACCCTCCTCGGCTAGAACTACCAAGGATTGGCAGGGGTGGGGAGCAGGGGCAGGGCCTGCCTTCTTCATAGCGTTTTGAGTGGGAAGTGCCGAGGGGTCTGTGTATGGTTCTGCCTCCAGCTGGCTGCCTCCTGGAGCCGTCTTGTGCCCTTGTGAGAGAGGGGCACCATGACTGGTGCCAGATTTCTTTACCTACCTGTCATGTACCTGTGGTCCTGTGGATCAATGGGTGGAGCTATAGAGTGTGGTGTGTGCCTATCTCCAATGGCCTCTGAGGTTGCAAGATCTCAGTGTCCAAGGTATACACTAACTAAGCCATGGAGAGGCAGCAAAGTGATTTACTGCACAGCTGCAGGGGCAATGTATCTCATAACAACAGAAGAAATCCGAGCAGGAGAGGGAAATTCAGCCCCTGGAGCCTCCTTACCATCATTGCTGAACATATCTCAGCCTTAAGTCTACTTATAACCTATTTATTACTCAGTAAAAAGTCTGTCTGTCTCCTCCTTACATTTATGCAGTGTCCTGGCATCCACCACGCTCTGAGGTAGTGAATTCCACAGATTCAGGGCCCTCTATATTTGGTGGATAACAGCCGTGTGACCAGTTGTTGTGGAACCAGGGCATAGTAAGATTTGGTGGAAATAGAACATTAAGAGACATCTTCTTTGGGGCCCTGTAGGTGATTAATGAAGTGAGTCTGGTAAAATTGGGTGAGACATCCTACTCTCCAAAAAAAAAATCTCAGCTTGTACTTGGCCAAACCAAAGGAAGATTCTGTCTTTTATATCTGTTTCCGTTGTTCATTTTGCTCATTAAATTGCTTTAAGAGAGAGGCTATTTCTTCACTGCGAATCATTGGAATCCTGTACCCCAAAGGGCTGTGGAGCTCAGTGATACTGCTTATGACTCTGCCTTTATTTAATAATTAGATTGAAAGATATCTAGATATTAAAGATATCGAAGCATATGGGGGATTGTGCAGGAAAAAGTCTTTTGAGTTAGAAGCTCAGCCACAATCTCATTAATTGCTGAAGCAGCTTGATGGTCAAAATGGCGGATTCCTCCTGCTATTTCCCAACTATTTTCTGCTGCTGTGATTTCTCCAGAAAAATGTCTCTCAGGGATAATGCAATTTTGCATCAATAATCATCACACTAATCCTCGCTTAATTTGGAGGGCTTTGTAAATCACAAATCTCTTTTATGATGATGCGAGTGCCTACATTGTCATCTTCTGCACTTTGTTGTCTTGTTGCCAAAAAAGGGATATCCCTTTGCACATATTTTATATTGGGAGAACATCGACAGACGTGTTTGAAATTATGGGGGGGATTTAAGCTACAACATAAACCTTAATGATTCACCATCTATAATAGCATGCCACTGTTGACTGTCTTTCTGACCTTCTCCATTTCATATGTTTCCAGCTTGTTGAGCTGCCCCCCGCTTCTAAACACTGAAGTTTCTCTCACATTCCCCTTTTTAACCCCCAATTCTCAGTCCTGATTGGGTTTAGAAAAAAGGTGCTTAACTTCAGGTTTCTTCTCCTTGTGACTTCCCTGGCCAGAGTCCCCACTTGTGTAAGCACATCGATGAGTCCAGGAATCCACAAAACAAGTATAAGAACACAATCCATTTTTAAGCAGTAAATAGTGTATTTATTTTAAATTACTCTTGCGTGGGACGTGGATGCCACTGGCAAGGCCAGAATTTGTTGCTCAGCCCCAGTCACCATTAAACTGAGAGACTTGATAGGGCCATTTGATAGGGCAGTTAAGAAAAAAAACTACATTGCTGTGAGTCTGGAGTCACATGTAGGGCAGACCAGATGAGGATGGTCGATTTCCTCTCCAAAAGAGCATTAGTGAATCAGCCTTTTTTTCCCCCAATAATGCCCCCATGGGGCAGCACGGTGGCTCAGTAGTTAACACTGCTGTCCTAAGCGCCAGGGACCTGGATTCGAACCCAACCTTGGGTGACTGTCTGTGTGGAGTTTGCACGTTCTCCTCGTGCGTGCATGGGTTTCCTCCCACAGTCCAAATATGTGCAAGTTAGGTGGATTCGCCATACTAAATTGTCCATAGCATCCAGGAATGTGTAGATTAGGTGCATTAGCCACGGGAAATGCAGGGATACAGGGATAGGGTAGGTGGATGGGTTTGGGTGGGATGGTGTTCGGAGTGTGAGTGTGGACTTGTTGGGCCAAACGGCCTGTTTCCACACTCTGGGAATTGTATGATTCTAATTGAGAATGGTTGCATAGTCCCCATTTTATTGCCTCTCGTTTCGGGTATCGAATTTGTACTGAATGGCTTCCTTTGCACTTTAAAAAATCTGGAATTCAAATTTTAACCATGCATAATGATATGATTCAAGCTCAAATCCCAAGAATCTTAGTATGAATTTCTGAATTACTAGTCCAGTGACATGACCGCTACACCACCAAGAGAAGGTAGGTGTGCAAGTGATAGAGTGGCAGGTGGTTGAAGGGCTTAGGGGGAGTAAGGGTGGCAGGGGAGCAAGAAGGATGGGTATAATGGAGAGTGAATTAGAGGGAGATCAAGTACAGAGGGAAAAGTAAAGTGAGGAAACAATAGATCAACAGGAAGTAAAAGAAGAAAACGTGAGGAAAGATTGTAGAATATGACATAAACACCTGAACATTAGTTATCAGATACAGCACCAGAAAGGTTGTTTGGCACTGCGTGAACAATGATCACATTGCTGAAGGACTACTTACGGTCTCGATGATCAGCCCTAACAGTTTGCAGTGAATTGAGTGTGTAATCATTGTTCCAATCCAGCAAGCCCTTCTGAAGGGACACTTGGGGCAGGATGTTATTTGTATGATGCAAAAGGTGCAAGCGGTTCAAAAAGGCAGCTCACCACCACCTTCTCAAGGGCAACTACGGATGAGCAAGAAATGTTGGCCAGCCAGCAACACCCACATCCCATAAATGAATAAAAAAAATGTGACTAACACATTCTGGAAATTCACAACTGACAGCAAATTTCTAAGCCCCTGACCTGTTAGCGAAAGTATACATTAATAATGGTGTGCATCATTAGCATGTTAATTTTTCAGCAAGATTCAGTCCATTAAGTTTCTAGATTACATCGCAGCTGAGGCCTTAGTTCAAAAGACAGATGAAAGTCTAAAACAGTTGCAGGCTAAGGTGTGCTCATAATAATGAAGCAGAAGTGAATTACTGTCAGTGCTACACTCTTGATGGAGCATCGAAAGTGATGCAATTTTAAATCCCATGTATAGAAAATCCAG